AACCCGACTCTCCTTCTGGCACAACTTAATGCCATTATCTCTCATCCTATCACTGTTATCTGGGAGCAGAGGCCGACTCCTACCTGGACACAACTTCCTTTCAGGAGTTGTTGTAAGGTATTTATGGCCTGAAGGAGTGCCAGGGGAGGGTCGGGTTGGATTTTAGGAAAAATGTTGTGGTGAGGCTGGCACAGCCTGCCTGGGAAGTGGTGGAGTCACCGTCTGTGGAGGTGTTCAGAAAAAGGCTGGATGTGGCCCTGAGGGACGTGGTTTAGTGAATGATGTGGTTTAGTGGGTTGATGGTTGGACTGGGTGATCTTAGAGGTCTCTTCCAACCTGAATGATGCTATGATTTTATTTCCAGACTCTCTTCTTCTTCAGACAGAGATGAAAACCTTGGTGATTCTATGATTCTATGAAACCTTTCACCTTTATGGACCAGTCCCTAAGAAATCTGTCATTGCTTGAATTCTGAGAATCCAAGCAGTGGGGAGGAGGAGCACATTTGTTTACAAACCATTGCTATTCCTGGCTACTCCTGGGCAGCAGTTTCTTGTCTGTGATGATTACAGTCTCTTCTGAGCCAGCAGTGAGCAATTAGGGTGGTCAGGTTCCTGAAGATGCATAAACGTCAGTGTGCGAGTCCTTTTAGCAAGCTGAGGAGTTGCTCAGCCGTGTGAGACACAAAAAGTCCTTGAGGATGACAGAGCCAGCCCAAAGCACCGTGCTGAGCTGGGTGGAAGGTTGCATTTAAGCCAGGGCTATGCCAGTATTTTTAAGCACGTTGCCAAGCTCTGAGCCAAGTTCAGCCCACAGCCAGACCGAGGTGAGCATAAAGCAATCTGCCCTAACAGCCACCAGATATGCCAATATATATATGTGAACTTTGTCTCTTACTGGGTTAATGATCTACTTAATTACTTCCAGACATCATCAATTAAGTGAGTATTGGGGTGGAGAACTGACAGCTACAGACTTGTGACCTCAATTAACCTTCCTGCATGAATTCACTGCATCAGTGCTGGCTATTTGGATGCAGGCTTTTCCATGGTTAAGCCAACTTCAAACAAGCTGTGGGCATGTAGGTTTAACATCTGCTGATCCACTCATCTATGATCTGCCATTATCTGATCACAGCTCTGGTCCACTCCTTTTCACCTGAAGAGGATGGCAAACATCATCAAGAAGGTAATGAGTCCTTCTTGTCCCTTATGGACAGGACAAAAGCTGTGAGCTCTGGTGAGGAATGGGCTTGGCTGTAGGAAAGTGCTCTGGAAGAGGTGCTGGGGGGAAAGGAAGGTGTCTCTGCAGTGAATTACTGTTGTGTGTTTGTACTTTTATCTACTGGAGATGAGTTCATCTTATACTGGGGATGTGATGGGGGCTGGATGGTTACCCTAGGCCTCTTAAAATCAAAATCCAAGAGATCTTTGACTCTTGCTGATGAGGAATGCTGGGTGGCCGTTGGTTGCAAAAGCAGTCAGCTATGTGTTTTACATGGACTCAGATTGCACGGCTGATATATGGACCACATCTGAGAACTGCACAGAAATGTGAAGTCCATCAAATCTGTATAATGCAGTGATCACTACTTAGCAGCAGAGAAGCAGATCTATAACAAAATGGGTGAGGAGAGAGTTAAAATCTCAACTTCACATCCTAGGATCTATGGATCTATTCACTTCTCATGAGGTCAGGAACACTTTGCCAATCTGCAAAGCACCCAAACGTGGCAGCTCCTGTGGTGCTTTGTTCAGTACTGGGCACCTCATTCTCTGGGGGCACTTAAACACAAATACGATCCGTTTGCAACAACTCTAATGGAGTACAGCAAGCCAGGTAAGGCTGGCTGGAAGTGCTCCTCATTTCTAGAAAATCTGCAGGATTTTGACTACTGCAATGATCAAAACTTGTCACTTTACACATTACTGAACTGACGAATCGCATGAAGCATAGCCCTATCAGCTTTTTGAGCCAATGAATTAAGAAGAAAATGCTCCGAAGTGTGTCGACAGGACCTGAAGTGCTGCGCCACCTGAAGTCTCAAAGTGCTGCTCCCATCATTGGTGTTGATGTACAGCTCAAAAATCACCAAAACTACTGCAATATCTCCCTGACGTGGCGTTTCCAAATGGGCTGCAGTTACAGCTGTCCCACTTTCCAGGTGGAAGCAAAGGATCCATGCAAGGCTGGGCTGGGCTGAGGGTCTGGGGGCACCTCCTCCGTGTGTGTAGCTCTGAGCAGGGCTGGGGCACGGCCCCGCAGTGCTGTCCCCATTGCCTGGGCCCTGAGGCACTGCGTGAGGCTGGTGGGCAAATAGATAGGAGAGAGCATGAAGCATAAGGCAGCTGTGAGATGGGTGAAACTGCAGGGCAGTGGGGACAGCTCCCCAGAGGGGGCTGCTGTTCATCAGATCAAGCAAGGGAGTGGGACTATGAATATACCAGAAAAAGGTAAACCAAGGCACCACGTCCCAGGAAAAACTGAGTCTGAGGCTCGTTATCTTTTAATAATCTGGATAGCTTAGCAATACAGGGTGAGTAGTGAGTAACACTGCCCACAGCAGCAAATGGGTTTGCAGATTATCTCTGAGTGAGAGGATGGAAAAGCACGTGCTTTTACCAGCAAAGGACTGTAGGATCTCGGATGTGTTTGCCCTCTCCAGATCAGCAGTTTGGCAGGAGGCACTTTTCCTTCCTGCCAAGCTGGCTCATGCCATCGATGGCTCTGCATCCCTGGATCAATGGCTGAGGTGTCTGACTGCACTGCAAGAAGAGCCCTCTCTGCAATGAGCTCTTATGGCCAGCATTATCTTGGCAGAGCTCACACAGTATTGGCTTCATGGTATTGGCATTACACTGCAAAAAGCAATGACTAGAAACAGACCGACGTGCCTGTTGGCTTGTGTCATGTGGAGGGCTCAAAGCAGCTTGGCAGAGATTATGTAGAGGTCAGGAAAGTCAAATGTCTGGAACACCAGGGAGATAAAATCTGTCCCTTAGGTACAATGGGGAAAGTAGTGACTGAGAAACGTTTATCTCTTCCCATTCAGGCTAATTTCACCTTCTGTGCATCTGTTTTCCCTGAAAGTACCATTAATTTGTGAAACTCCTTGATTGACAGCATAAATGATAAAATCTGCTCCAAAAACCAGCCCAGATGGATTTTGGGATGGGGTTACTAAGAATGGAGAAAGCACATCCAGACTAGGAAGTCCCTGAGCTTCAAATTATTGGAAGATGGGCAGGCACTCAAGGGAAGTATGACAGGAATCAGTTCTTGCCTCCTTCCCTACAGGTCTGCTATTGGTGCTGGAAATGGGAGTAAGGCTGAATGGAGCAGAATCACGAATTATTAAGGTTGGATGAGACAAGGCTGGAACTTCACCAGACTGCCACGATCTTCCCAGTATGAGGGATAATGGCTGGGCAGCCCGTTAATGATCCATGAAGGCCTCGTGCTGGAGGTTTGCCACCACAGGGGTTCTGTACGTGTGACCCACGGGCATCGTCCCCCCACACACTGCATGGTGCTGCCAGGGCTCAGGGCTGATGAGATCCACCTCCCTGCCCGTGTTCTGGCACAGACTCTTCTGGGGAGCCCAGCAGACAGAGGAGATGGCTGTTGTGGTTCTGAGTGGACGGAAGAATGGAAACATGGAGTTTCCAAACCGCCTTGCTCTCTCACCATCAAAGAGCTCTTCATTAACTCTCGGTGCATCGGTCTCACGAGCCCCAGGCAGGCGCTGGGGAATGCCGTGCCCCCCCAGCACCCAACGGCCCAGCACTGCTAGGGAGAGCCAATGGCAGGAGCTGGAGCAGCCCTGAACATCCCCTCCTCCCGGCAGCGCAGAGCCCAGCCTCACCTGGGGGCTCTCAGGGGCTTTGCAGAGCACAGATAGCAGCCGGCCCTTCTGCACCGCTCTGCCTTCCAGCCCCACCTGCTCCCAGCACAGCCTCTGCTTGGGCTGCACAGCTCTGCCGTGCTGCTTTCCCCCTGCCAGGCCGAGGAGCCCCACAGGCTGGGCTCTGCAGTGCTGCTGAGACACCCATCGCAGGCACCGGCTGTGGGAGAGCTTCTGGCAGCACACCTGTTTGCTGGGATGGCTGCACCTGGGGAGCCAGATCCGGGTCCAGACGCACGTCAGGCCAGAGGTTGGTGCCCACGAGCACTTCGTGTCTGATTGCTGCCTGCAGCCCCTGCTCAGCCCAGGACACAGCCCTGCATGGAGGGAAGGAGGGAGGGAGGGAGCTGCTCTCCGTGCTCTGCGTTGGAGCTCATCTCTGCACCCAGAGCTCAGACCTGCGGGTTGTCATCCCTCTATGCCTTCCCTGGTGACAGCAGTCCGGGCACCCACAGCATCCCTGGCTTTGCTGCAGGGTTTGTATTTCCTTCAAGCTTCTCCTGACATCAGAACACTCAATTGTGCAGGCTCCACACATGAGTGACTGAAAGAATGAAGACGGAGCGGGGAATGGCACTGTCATGGCTGTGCTGAATGTCCCAGTGCACCTCTGGACACCAGATCTCGCCTTGCACGTTTGGAGGAGCTCTGTGTAGTGCACGGTGCAGGGCAGCCGGGACCGCTCAGCAGCAGAGCCCGAGGGATGCTGAGTGCTGAGCATCCCTTCCTCCTGCAGCTGACTCCGAGATCTCAGCTGGGCTGTGGTGAGCAGCCAACGAAGAAACATCTCCACAAGCAGTGCACTGAAGGAGACTGCTGGTGAGCGCCGGTGGCACAGTCTGGAACGTGAAAAGCATCTGAAGTTCTTCCCATCCAACAGCCCCATTTCATCACTGATTTTGCTCCGTTCCCTTCTCCCAGTCATGTTACATCGCAGAGATCCCATCTCACACGTAGCAGTAACAGTTTGGGTTCCCCATTTGGCACGTGCATCGACGTGTTGCCCTCAGCTTCGCGCCCCCAGTTCTGCACGTCCCATGGATCCCACTCTGGGGTCTTTCTCACATTCTTAAGCACAGAAGCAAGATCCTCCTGTATGGCTTCTGGCCCCTTCAGCCACCCCAACAGCAGCTCCTCCTCCTTCATCCTTGTGGGTGTCCCCACCCTGGAAGCTTTCCCCATCTGCCTGGGCATCCTTTTCTGCTCAGCATACGTCCTCGCCCTGCTAGGGAATAGCACAGTTCTGCTGGTCACTGTTCTGGACAGGTCCCTGCGGGACCCCATGCACTGCTTCCTGGCCATGCTGGCCGCCATCGATGTGCTGATGGTGACGTCCATCGTCCCCAAGCTGCTGGGCATTTTCTGGTTCCATTCCAACCGGATTGGTTACACCGCCTGCTTTGTTCAGATGTTCTTCGTTCACTCCACGACATCAGAGGAGTCAGGAGTGCTCCTGGCCATGGCTTTTGATCGCTACGTTGCCATTTGTCAGCCCCTCCGGTACAGAATGATCCTGAATCGACAAACAGTTGCCCGGATCTGCCTGGCCATCGTGGTGAGAGCACTGCTTTTCATGGTCCCGTTGACAGGGATGGTGACAAACCTCCCCTACTGCCGTTCCCTCGTGGTTCCCCATTCATACTGCGAGCACATGGCTGTCACCAGCCTTGCCTGCGCAGACCCCAACCCCAGCAGACTCTACAGCATATCTATGTCCTCTCTCATAGTAGGGATGGACACAGCTTTCATTGCTGTGTCCTATCTGATGATCCTGAAAGCCGTCCTGGGCAAGGAAACTTGCAGGAGGGCCTTCAGCACCTGCGGGTGCCACATCTGTGTGATGATGCTGTACTACATCCCCGGCCTGCTCTCCATCTACGCGCAGCACTTCGGCCAAGCTGTGTCTGTGCGTGCACAGGTTCTGCTGGCCGACCTCTACCTCACCGTCCCTGCCATGCTGAACCCCATCATCTACAGCATGAGGACCAGGCAGATCCAGAAGGCAATGCTCAACTTGCTGCTTCCCAGGAAGGCTCAGGCCTGTCACAGCACTCAGTGACTTTCCAGGGCTGTTCATCCACACAAATACAGCACCCACTTCATTCCCAGTGGATGCACACAGGGAACAGAAGCCATGAGGGGATGGGGGAGGATTTGTTGGCTTTAATGGCTGTGTGAGACCCTACAGTGCAACAGGGGGTCTGGGTTTGGGTCTGGGATCATAGCAAATGCCAGGCTCGTGATCCATTGCCCTTCCTTCTTACCAGGAGGCAGAGGGGCGGCCGCCGGCTTTGGGTTTTGAGGTGCTCTCTGTGCTGTGAATGTCCCTGTGATCATTTACAATTCACAACTGCACGTGTGTTTGTGTCAATAAACAGATTATATTCAAAGTGGGGAAATTTCTTCTACGGTGCCTTTTTGACTCAATGCAAACCTATTGTTGCTGTCAGCAGGAGGCTGTCATACACTGCAGGGACGGTAGTGTCAGTTCCTGTTAGGATGTGTGAGATAGAAGAGTGAGAAATCATCATCTAATCTTTAAGAATGGAAAAGACTTCCAAGATCTCAACCCAAACCCTAACCCAACCTCACCCCACCCCCACTGTACCCATTGACCACAGTGCCACATCTCTACGGTTCTGGAATGCCTCCTGGGACTCCCGAATATGGAATCATAGAATCATATATCATAAAATCACTGAACATCCTGATGTTCTATGAGGTTCTATACAACCTCAGACTCCTCCGTTATGGCTTCATGCCATTCCCTCTGTTTCTGTTGCTGACCCCTCCTTGTTAGGTAGCCACAGGCTGCCATGAGGGGCTGTAGGGCCATGGGGGGCTGTAGGGCCATTGGGGGCTGTAGGATCATGAGGGGCTGTAGGGCCATGGTCCTCCCCTCAGCCTCCTCTACCCTGGGCCAAACAACCCAAGGAATCTCAGCACTCCTCACACCCCTTGCTTTCAGACCCTTCCCCATCTCTGTAGCCCTTCTTTGGACAGTCTCAGAATTTTAAGTCCTTTTCATACTGTGGTTCCCAGAACTGCACCCAGTGCTGGAGGTGGGGCTGCACAGCACAGCAGAGGGGACAGCCCTCCCCTTGCCCAGGGGCATTGCTGGGCCCCGTGCCCCTCAGGGGACAGTTGTCCTTCCTGCTGCCTGGGCACACAGCTGGCTCATGTACAACTTGCTGCAGAGACCCCCAGCCCCTTTCTGTGGGGCTGCTCTCCATCCCCTCATTCTCCTCTAGCAGAGCTCAGAGTGCTGTGATCAGCAGTGCAGGGTTTGGCTGGAGGCAGTAAATAGTGGTGTTTCCCCAGGGGTCTGTGCCGGGTCTGGCCGTGCTCAACGTTTCCATCAGTGACCTGGATGAAGGGGTGGGGGTCTGTGGGGGTCCCCTCTCAGCTAATTTGGTGATGGAATGAAGCTGGAAGCAGTGTCTGACAGCCCAGAAGGCCGTGCTGCCAGTCAGTGAGAGCTGGGCAGGGAGGAACCCAGGGAGGCTCAACGAGGACAAGTGTAGGGTCCTACACATGGGGAGGAGCAACCACAGCATCAGTACAGGTCTGTGAGATGGAGAGGAGCTCTGTGGACAGGGACCTGGGGCTCCTGGTGGACAACAGGTGACCAGCAGTGTGCCCTGTGGCCAAAAAGGCCAATGGGATCCCGGGGTGCATTAAAAAGAATGTGGCCAGCAGGGCGAGGGAGGGGATCCTCCCCCACTTCTGTGCTGTGAGGGGAGCAGAGCCCCAGCACTGCCGTCCTGAGAGGTGGGGGTCTCCTTATTGGAGGCATCCAAACACATTCAGGTGCTGTTCTGTGCAAAGACTGCAGGAACTGCTTCAGAGGTTGGGCTGGGGGATCTCCAGAGGTCCCTTCCCACCGCTGTGGTCTGGGGGTCTGTGACTTGTGCTGCTGCTGCTGCCTCACTTTCCCATCTCCTTTAGCCAGCTGAAAAATAAGTGAGATGGGAGAGAACAAGGTGGGCTCCTGCTGTGCCCCCCTGCACTGATCAGAGCTCACTGCAGATGCCCATGGGAACCTCCGTGCAGGACTCTCCCTGCTGCATGGCTGGGGGACTGACGCACAGCCACGGCTCTGCCCTGCACTGCAGGTGGCTGTGAGCTGTGTGATGTGGGGCTGAGCGTGGATGGGGCTGCTGGGGGGGTGGCTGTGGGAACACACACAGGAGCTGAGCCAGCAAGGGAATGGTAACGGCTGGGGACATCCTATAAGAAATCAGTTCAGTCTCCCATTAGAATGAAGAAGTTTAAGAAAAAGCAGAAACTGTTCACTGAAAAAAAGAAGTTTGTTTCTGTCTCTATAACCAACTATAATGAGCTCAACACAGCTCACGCTGCCCCAGGGGGTCTGGGGGAGGGGAGGGAGAGGGAGCTGGGGTGGGAAGGGCCGTGTCTGGAAGATGTGACAAAGTGTGACAGGAGAGCACAGGGCCCATCTCATCAACGTGAGGGCTCTGCGTCCAGCAGAAGGGGCTCCGCTGTGATGGGGAAGAGCTGAACTACAGGAACGGAGGTTGGTGGTGCCCAGGGGCTGGAGGCAGTGATCTCAGTGTACTGCAGGTGCAACGCTGATTTTTTGTGAAGTCCTGCTTTCTAAAACTGACAAAACTTAAAAGCAGAGGGAAATTAGAACGGGAAACTGCAGGGATCTCTGAGAGCTGCTGTGAGCAGTTTGGCTGACGGGAAGCACTGTGTGGCCAGGATGGGGCAGGAGCTGCAGCCACAGCAACAGATGGGGCAGAAGAGGAGTGGGGCACAGGTTGGGACCTCCTGCACGTCGGGAGCTTTTCAGTAGAGAAACCAGATAAAACCAGATAAAAGCCATTCATCCTCTGCACGAGGGGCAGACAAGAGCAGAGCAGGTCTGGGTACAGTGCATGGGTGTCCCCATCCTGCCCCAGTCTGGCACTGCCCCAAGGAGACATCAGACAGTGCTGTTATCTGCACAGCGCCCAGCCTGACGTCAGCGCCCGCAGCGGCCAACAGGAGATGGGGCCAAAAGAGAATTACAGAACTGGAATCGAGTTAAGCCTAATTCAATTAACGGCAATCAGCGGGAAATTGCTCTTGTCAAATAAACCTGATTTTGTTTTCTGATGAGATGGGAAGTTTGGTTAACCTGTGTGTGTGTGTGCGTAAGGTCCAGAGATGCGCCGCTGCTGCTCTGTGTCCAGGTGGGATGGCACTGAGCTGAGAGGCATCAGGAGAGCGAGGGAGAATGGAATGGTTGAGGGACCTCGACTGAAGCTGCCAGACCCAACATCACAACAGGCGGTGACTGCACAGGTACTGCAATGCCTGGCTCTAGGCTGGGGGCTGTTCTGTGCTGCTCTCATCAGGTTTCCTAAAAATAATGCAAACTCTGTCTCGGATGGTGGGGGGAAAGGCAAAGTCACGCAGAGCAGACCCAGAGGCTGATGGAGCTGAGAAGAACCGGCTGCCCTGAGCTGCACACCACGGAGCTGGGTGGGCTCCCACTGCATCCCAGTGAGCAGGGGCTGTGAGAGCAGCGGGCAGCACCTCAGGGACACCAAAGGCAGTGCAATTTTGGATGCACGGGGGGGAAATAGAGGTTATATTAAAAAAAAAAAAAAAAAAATTGCAATCTTGTAGCTGTGTGGATAGCAATCCTCTCAAGCTAAGCCATGCTATGATTCAGTTCTCTGGATCCATCCCTGCAGACGTCCAAGGTCAGAGCATCAGTGAGCACTGATGGGGCTGTGGGGGTCTCTGTGCACTGCAGGGAGTGGGACATGATGGCCTTCAGGGTCCCTTCCAACTCAACCCATTCTATGAACTTACTGTGATGGGAAGTGCCTCTGTGGTCAAGCACAGGAAGGCAGGACAGGGGGCTGCAGCTGGAGGGAGCAGACAGGCAGGGTCAGATGGGAAGAGAAGTGTGTTATAACCATGGGGATAAGTGCAGCTGGGGCAAAACCCCAAGGTTCTCCATCTCCAAGTTGCCCACCAGCCTGCACTGCGCACTGCCTGCCAGGAATGGGAGAATCCCACACTGTTATGACATGAACACCAAGCAGGGCTGTGTTCTGCTTTGCTTTTACAGAATCACAGAATAGCTTGGGTTGGAAGGGACCTCAAGGATCATGAAGCTCCAACCCCCCACCACACACAGGGCCACCAATCTCCACATTTCACACCAGCCCAGGCTGCCCAGGGCCCCATCCAACCTGGCCTTGAACACCTCCAGGGATGGACGGGGCATCCACAGCCTCTCTCAGCTGTTCCAGCACCTCACCACTCTATGTCCTTTGAGGCTTTGTCCTTCAGCCTCATGAACTGATGAGTACGTGGGCTGTTGGTACCACATAATTCAACCTTCCTCAGCTGAGGGTAGCAATGGCTGCTGCTCGAGACATTGTTCCTCTGGCTGCAGTTTCTCAGCTCAGTTTTGCCATGCAAAGCACCGACCACAGCATCGGTTTAAAAACCTGACTGTGGGTAACAGATCCTGAAAGGTTTTCCCTATATTTTATGATGCTGTGTGTACACAGTTTTATGACCAAAGAAATGGTAGCAAAATCCCAAACTTTCTGTCTCTGTGTTGCAGGGAACTAAAGTCAGCTGTGCCATGCTGGTCCCCAACCAATCCAACACCACTCCTTTGCCTTTTCTCCTGCTGGGAATCCCTGGCTTGGAAGATGCCCACACGTGGATTTCCATCCCATTCTGCCTTATGTACGTCATGGCCTTGCTGGGAAATAGCACGGTCCTGCTTGCTGTGAGTCTGGACAAAAGTCTCCACGAGCCCATGTACTATTTCATTTCCATGCTGGCTGTCATTGACCTCATCTTCACAACTGCTGTAGTTCCCAAAATGCTGAGTGTATTCTGGCTGGGCTGCAGAGAGATTGCTTTTCAGGCTTGCTTCACCCAGATGTTTTTCATCCACATGTTCACTGCCGTGGAGTCAGGGGTGCTCCTGGCGATGTCCTTTGACCGATACGTGGCCATCTGCAACCCCCTGAGATACATCACCATCCTGACCAAGGCACGGACCACGCAGATAGGGCTGCTCTCTGTGGCCCGGGGAGCTGCTGTCATGACCCCTTTAATGTGCCTCCTCACCAGCTTACCCTACTGCAGGGACAGGGTCATCCCCCACTCCTACTGCGAGCACATGGCCGTGGTGGAGCTGGCTTGTGCTGACCCATCAGTCAGCCATCTGTACAGCATCATCGTGGCAACGCTGCTGGTGGGGACAGACTCCGTGTTCATCACCTTCTCCTACGGGATGATCCTCAGGTCGGTGCTGAGGCTGCCATCCCGAGGGGCTCGTCTCAAATCCCTCAGCACCTGCGGGTCCCACGTGTCCGTCATCCTCCTGTTCTACATGGGAGGTCTCCTCTCCATGTACCTGCAGATGTTCTCTCTTGGCTTGGCACCTCACACCCGAGTCCTGGTGGCTGATTTCTATTTGACGGTCCCTCCCATGCTCAACCCACTCATTTATGGCATGAAGATGAAGCAGATCCGGGATGGGATATTCCGACTGCTGGAGCGGTTGCCAGGACTCAGGTTCTCAGATGCTCACTGAGCCAGCAAGGCACGCCCAGTAAGCTGCTTATCCTGCCCTAGGCTGTGTGTGACAATGCACTGACCCCAGAAATTGACCCCAGAATTGTCCATCTTTCTGCAGCGACTGCAAAGGGAACCTGGACCAGGAGACAGGAATGGTCACAGCTCATTTCAGGAAATAGCATTGCTTTCTAATTCTGCAAAGAGTGCATGTGGGTGAACACCTGCTTTGGAGAGAGGATAAGGAAAAGAAAATGTTTCCTGTAAAATGTGATGCTTCCATCCATCTTTGCTTGCTGCAGTGCCTGCTCCCAGTTTCTCAGAACTGCTATTGGACTCATTCAGCTCTGCAGAGCCCCACACTGATGGCAGCAAGCAGACCTGAGCCTCACAGACCAGAGGAGCTGTGCTGGGCTGCTCCTGCCCAGGGGTTCTGCACCCTGGTTGAGCTGCATGAGGTTCCTGCTGCCCATCTCTCCAGCTGCAGGGTGAACCAGGCATAGAACCACAGAATCATGGCTGGAAAAGATGCCCAAGTCCCACCCAACCCATCTCTGCAGACCATGCCCCATTGCTCCCAGCTCCCCCAGCCCCAGGGCTGAAGACTCCCAAGGAAAGAGTCCCTTCCTCATTGACTGATGGACTCTGCAAGATGAGCTCTGTCACCATCAGCAGCAACTGGTAACATCATGGCACCAATTACCCTCGTGACGCTTCCAACTTATTAATCACGTCACGCAATCATTTTTCATTTCTCCTTTGCATGCAGCATCCAAAGCCAACAACAACTTAACCCTTCAGGACCCCAGCAAGGTCTGCTGCTCAGAGGCAGCCCCTGAACCGGCGCACAGCACAGCCCTGCACTTCACTGTCCCTCAAAATCAGTGTGTTTTGACCCCAACCAAACGAGCACTTCCCAGCAGCACGTCTTACACCACACACAGCCCTGGGTGGGAGGTGCAGCACTTTGGAGGTGCTGTCCGGAATGGGGCTGCAGGGGTTGGAGGGGACACCAAAAAGGTTTTCTCCTTTCACCTCTGCATTTTCAGCCCCTGGCCCTGAGGGGGGGAGGGAGGGATTGGGAGGGTGCCTTTACAGACCTCTGAGAAGTTTGGGCTCAGCTGTTGTTTGTCACACATCACAGTCAGGTGCCAGGGGACAGCACAGCCCCAAAACACGCGTCCCTCTGCACAGGGGACAAATTGCAGCAGGGGATGGAGGTGTCCCAGTGCCACCAATGCGCCCTGCAGAGCTGGGGTTAAGGAGGGGGGTATGGATGGGGGCTGGCAGCACTGAGTGGGTCCTGCTGGCCAGGGCTCCCCTTGCAGGGCAGTGGGGACGTGGGCTGCTCCCCCCACACAGAGCCACCGACTCTCAGCTCCCCCCAAGAAACCAATGCAGGATCCCCAGTGCAACGGCAATGCCGCTAATTGGCCCCACCCGCAACAGCCACCAGTAATCAACCCTCCTGTAATTACCATCCAGCTCATTAGCACTAATTGGACTGCTCCCAGGGGAAGAAGCCTAATGGAAACAAAACAAAACAGAACAAAGTTTAGTTGTGTTTAACTTTGAGTTGTTCAAAAGCCTGGAAGGAAAACCAGAATGCCCCAAAGCACCACAGAGGGATGCTGGAGTCCCCAGGGCGAGGGGACAGCGCAGGGCTGATGATGGCAGATGGCACGTGGCCTTCTGCAGGCAGATCCAGCCTGGTCCCTCTGTGGGCTGTGCTCATCTCATGGCATCGCAGCCATGCACTCTGATGCTCCATAGCAAAATCCTGTTCCTGGCTGATGGTGGGGCCAGAACACACTTTCCCACCAGGGAGATCTCATGGTGGAGCTGTGGGGACACAGATGGGGTGGTGTGGGGACAGCCCCGAGGGGCTTGCTCTGAACATGGACCATGTCATGGCTCTTCCAAACAGCAGCACCACAGCAAACTCTTATCCTTCTGCATCCCCAGCCCTGAGCACTGCTGTGCTGAGCATCCCCGTGTTCCCAGACCCGCTGCACCCAGCACCAGGCACCCTGCACCCCTGCTGTCACCCCTCCAGGGCTGTGGAGGTGGCAGTGGGGGCTGAGTTGCATCCCTCCCATCCCAGCTGCTGGACTGGTACAAGTGCCACCAGGTCCAAGAGGGGTGGGCAGGGCTGGATCACAGAGTTCAGGGATAGAACTGCAACACGTTTCCCATTTTCTGCATCCCCCTGTGCAGCCACAACCCTGGCACCAAACACTCAGTGTCCTGGGTACCCCCGGGGTGTTTTATCCTGGAAGGAACAGAGGGACAAAACCAGAGCATAATCTGTGCGACCCTAGGGGCTGCTGGGCTGAGGGCTGGCAGTCCTTCCACAACCTTCCCCAAATCCCATTGTGCTGCAGTGGGCTGTGCCGGCCCGAGCCCTGCAAGCAGCGCTCCCCGGTCCCGTGGATCAGCTCAGTGCTGCTGGGAGCGCACGTGGAGTGTGGGAGGCATCTCCTGGCCGGACGGCAGCACTGCCATCTGCCTGCAGTGCCACAGCCCTGCACTGCCATCTGCCTGCAATTGTCTGCCTGCAGTGTAACGGTCCTGCACTGCCATCTGCCTGCAGTGCCACAGCCCTGCAGTGTCACCTGCCCTGTGGAAGGAAGGGATGCCATTCAGTGGGACCTCAGCAGACTTGAAAGGTGGGCCCGGGTGAACCTAATGAGGTTCAACACAGCAGAGTGCAAGGTTTGGCTCTTGGGCCGGAGGAATCCCAGGCATCCATACAGACTGGAAGGAGCGGTCCTTGAGAGCAGCCCTGCAGAGGAGGACCTGGGGTCCTGATGGATGAAAAGCTGAACATGAGCCAGCAGTGTGCTCCTGCAGCTCGGAAAGCAAATGGGATCCTGGGCTCCATCAGCAGAGGGGTGGCCAGCAGGGACAGGGAGGTGATTGTTCTCCTCTGCTCTGCTCTTGTGAGGCCCCATCTGCAGCACTGTGTCCTGGTCTGGAGCCCCCAGGACAAGAAGGACAGGGAGCTGTTGGAGAGGGTCCAGAGGAGCCACAAAGATGATCAGGGGGCTGCAGCACCTCCACTACAAAGACAGGCTGAGGGAGCTGGGCTTGTTCAGCATGGAGAAGAGAAGCTGTGGGGTGAATCACTGCAGCCTTCAGGACCTCAAGGGAGCCTGCAGACAGGAGGGGAGTCAGCTCTTGGAAAGGGGAGATGACAGCAGGACCAGGGAAATGGTTTGAAGTTGAGGGAGGGCAGATTGAGGTTGGATGTGAGGGGGAAGTTGTTTGCTGTGAGAGTGGTGAGGTGCTGGAACAGCTGCCCAGAGAGGCTGTGGATGCCCCGTCCATCCCTGGAGGTGTTCAAGGCCAGGTTGGATGGGGCCCTGGGCAGCCTGGGCTGCTGTGAAATGTGGAGGTTGGTGGCCCTGTGTGTGGTGGGGGGTTGGAGCGTCATGATCCTTGAGGTCCCTTCCAACCCAAACCATTCTGTGATTCTGCCTTGCAGTGCCACTGCCCTGCACTGCCACTTCCCTACACTGCCATCTGCCTGCAGTGCCACAGCCCAGCAGTGCCACCTCCACATCACTCCCACCTTCCAGCTCTGCCTCCTCCCTGCACGGCCACCTCCCACGGCTGTGACGAGGAGCTGACACTTCAGATCGTGGCACTGCAGGCAGATTGCAGCGCAGAAAGCATTGCTGCAAGGAGGTGACACTGCGGGGAGATGACAACGATGAGTGGTTGCATTGCAGGAAGGCAGCAACACAAGAGGGTGTCAGTGATGGGAAGGCAATGCTGCAGGGGGTGGGAGTGTGATGGGACCTATGGGCCTGAGCAGGGTGAGCCCAATGAGGCCCTGCCTGCAATGGGGCTGGATGAGCAGCCCCAGCAGTGAGCGATTGGCCCAGCACTGTGTGAGCTGCCTCCTGCCATACCTTCCCATCCACCCTATTGCTGTGCTACGTCACGAGGGGTTAAATGCAAACAGCATGAGGAGCTATGCAAAAAAAAAAAAAAAAAAAAAAAAAAGCCTGCAGGAAACTGCCTCAGCTTCCATGGAAACACAGAGGAGCACAGATTTGGGTTCAGAGTGCAAATCAAGCACTGTTCCCTAAAGGTAACAGAAAGGGCTGTACTGAGATGGGAGCAGGAAAGGCCCCTGCATTGCTGCTGTGCACACTGCAGCGCTGATGGTTGTGTGGTTGTGCCCAAAGCAGAGGATTTCTGATAAGAGCAGTGACCTGGGGCAGTGTCCTGCTGTGCAGAGCTCAGGGTGTCCATGCTGAGCTGCGCTCCGCTGTGGGGCTGACAGCACTGCCCTGCGTGCAATGCCTGCTCAGGCTCTGCAATACCACCAAGATGTGCACCCATGGGAAACATCTCCCTGGTAATGGGGCAGAGGGGCTAAAACAGGCACCCAAGGAAGGAAACCCAATATTACAGGGTTGAAATGCACAGAGGAGGGTGAGCAGAGATGAGGCTGCCCACCACACCCCCAAGGGCAGGCAGCCATCCCATGAGGATCTGTGGGACACCCCTCTGTGTGGGTGCTGCCCTATGGGGCGGTGAGACTGCAGCACCCAGAGCTGGAAGCAAAGCAAAGAGGATCTGGCAGGACTGGGGTTCGTGTAGGAGGGCCAGCACCTTTCCCCCAGCAGAGCAGGTGGAGGTGTTTGTTTCTCTCTGAAATCCTCAGTGGAGAATTAATGAGTGCCTGCCTGGCACTGAGCAGCAGCAGGAAAAGGAATGCTGATGGCTTCTTTCAGCCACAGCAGCTCTGGGGCTGTGTGTGGGAAGGGCAGGGTTCAGGGGCTCTGGGGCCCTTTCCCTTTGGCTTTGTATTGCATCACAGGGCCCAAGCAATTTAGAAGGGCCCCATAAAGGCCATCGGGTCCCACTCCCTGCAATGAATAAGGACACCACAGCCCCCAACCTCGGGTGTCTGCAGGGATGGGACACTCACCTTCATCACAGCACTGTGCTGATGCCATTCTGAACAGGGTCACCCTGCTATCCAGGACTGGCAGAATCTCAGCACTTCTCATCTTCCAGGGTTTGGGCCACATCTCCCTGATCCAATTCACACGAGGAGAAGCAGGATGGCTGGCTCCAAGGCATGGCCTCCACCAGCTGCTTTCAGATCCCTGAAAGACTTTGGGCTTTTCCAGCGTTTCCATGTCACACTTAGCATTCACACTGCCTGCCTCTCCTCCTTCCGTTCTGACTGTGCAGCACAGAGGGAGGGGGTGGTTACAGATCCCTGCTCAACCAGGACCTGATTTTTGCCCAAGCTGTGCTCTGATGTGACTCATCCAGTAAACGACTGCTGGCACATAGACTGGAGATGGGGTATAACCCACCAGGAGTTGATCCTAACGACTCCTGGCCATGGGAATGGGCCCAGCCCAGGACCCAGCAAAGCAACAGTGCCCCAGGGCAGCTCAGGAAGAGCTGAGGCCTGCCAAGGAGCAAGGAGAAGGGCAGTGGCATCAGGCAGCACCAGCAAGGGGCACAACAGGTGGACACCGAGGCTCAGGAGCGACCTCATTTGCTGTGCACATTAAGAGCCTCATCACACACTGCAGGGGCTGATGAGATCTGCCAGCAGTCCACGGGTGGAGGTGTCAGCAGGACGGAGGGACATCCAGACCTCCTCCTGACATCCAGATTGCCGGCGACAGCCTTAATTGTAGCAGGGAAGGAGCACTGCTGCAGCCCTTGCTGTGAACAGCCTTGAGGCGTCCTAATTAATAAGGCTGCCTCGAGCATCCCGAGTGACTCACGGGCTCTGAGTCCTCCAATGCTCCGTCCATCCCTCGCAGAGCAAGGCTGTCTCTGCAGTGCTGTCAGAAAGCCTGGAGAGACCCACCTGGGGCCAAGCCCACACATGGCCGTGGAGGAACACGTCATCCTGCAGGAAACACAGCCACTTTCCCTGCCAAAACCCCACACGTGTGCTGGGAAGCCGAGCTGTATTTTTAGCCTCCAGCACTGTGCTAGCAGAATCCTCAGTTAACTCCTTCCCTGTTCCTGGGGCACAGCCCAGGGCTCTGGGTACAGCTGCATGCAGAGATCCCGGCTGGTGGGGCTTCCATGTCTCAGAGAGCAGGAATGGCCTCTGTCCCTCTTCATAAACCCCAGAGCCACCTCTGCTGGGAGGACCCATCCCCTCCAGATCGCCATCAGACACAGAGGGCTGTGCCTTCACACATGCCAGGGGTTGGCCCTGGTGTTACCCACACCCCACCAGCCTCATTTCAGCTGCCTGGTGTCCTGCACCATGCCCAGCACACACACCCTGCTCAGACACACCAGTGCAACTGCAAA